GGGTAAGGGCTGTAGTACGGGGTGGAGGAGGGGACACTGGGGTAAGGGCTGTAGTACGGGGTGGAGGAGGGGGCACTGTGCGGTCAGGGTTATGGTACAGGTTGGGGGTGGGGGGGCACTATGTGCTAAGGGCTATAGTACGGGGTGGGGGTAGGGGTACTGTGGGGTAAGGGATATAGTACGGGGTGGGGGTAGGGGTGGGGGAGGGGGCACTGTGGGGTAAGGGCTGCAGTGGGGGACCAGGGAGATGATAGTAATGCCCCAGGTCAGGCGTACTATAGTGATCTCCTGTACCCCCAGAGGTGAGAATGAAACTATCATATTCTGGAAGGCAGCATCGGCAAACAGCTCCACATCGACAGAGAGTTTCCAGCGAGACATTGTGTACAGCTCCCAGGAGCCTGGCTCAGCTGCTCAGCCTCTGAGTTCTCTTCCCCCTGTATCTCTGGAGGATTTCCCTGCTGTCTGAGCACCCCCACCCACCCACCCAGGGAGCCAGGCTCAGGCACTCAGTCTCTGAGCTCCCCTCTCCCACACCCCCCGGAGGATTTCCCTGCTGTCTCACTGCACTGTGTTCCATCTGTGGCCAAGCCAATATTTTAGACAGCTTGAACAAGACTTCCTTGCTCCTATATTCTCCGTCCTGGCTAATGAAGGCAAGTATCTCATAAACCTTCATGTCCATGTCTCCCTGTGCTGACACCTTCATGGATCTATGGCCTTGAACACCAAGGTCTCTTTGTTCTTCAATATTCTCCAGGAACCTGCCATTTATTGTGTATATCCTTCCCTTATTAAACCTTCAAAAATGCATCACCTCTCACTTATCAGGGTTAAATTCCATCTACCATTGTTCTGTCCAATTTACCAGCAGATCAATATCAGCCTGAGATCATCCCCCTCACTATCAATAGAACGTGTTTCGCTGTATCCTCTCTCCCACTGTTCCCGCCCTGCTGCCTGTCTCGCTGTCTCCCCTCTCCCGCTGTTCCCGCCCTGCTGCCTGTCTCGCTGTCTCCCCTCTCCCGCTGTTCCCGCCCTGCTGCCTGTCTCCCTTCTCCCGCTGTTCCCATTCCTGTCCTGCTACCTGTCTGGCTGTCTCCAACGTTACTGTTGCTCTGGCTTCTTTTATTACCTCCTGATGTTTGATTTCACTTTCCTATACGTTCTTTGCAATTCCTTCTTTGCGTTCTGTTGTTGCACATGTTCACATTTGTGTTTATACAATCCTGCGATCTGCTGAGTTGGTTTTTAGATTGTAGTCTCTGTATGTTTGTCCTATCCGACACTGAACTGTACAAAATGGGTGAAATATTTCCCAGTAGGCCAGGGAGCCTGACCGGAAGGACTGTAATGTGCTGCAATCTCTGTTACAGAGGTCACTGTCAGCCACTGCTCCACCGGTTTGGCTGCCTTACACCTCTATCGATCAGTTACTGCAGGCGCTCGGAGAGAACCCAGGCAACATGAATAACATGAGGGTGAGTGTGAAACCTTCAATAACGCATTACAGTCTCAGAGAGTGTTGATCTTTTCCCCACAATGGCCGTTGACTCTGTTGATAAGATGTATCTGATGTGAAAGCAACTGGGTTTTGATTAGGCTCTTTGTTACTTCCTCAGTTGTGTGAGAAACTCCGAAGCAGCCTGGCCGATTACCACCAGCAGGTGGATCAAACAACATCCGACATGAGTAGCTACCGCAGGCAGCAGCAGCAGTTGTGAAAGTTGGGCTCGTCTTGGAGAGATGCCTTGCTGCACGGATTCGGTGTCTAAATGACAGGCAATACCAATGACCCAGTGACACGAGCTGCCTTTTCTACATGACCTCATGTGCCTCTACAGACTCATCAAAGTAGACATCACATATGCACGTGGACATGCACACAACTTTGTAATAATGTCAGATTTCTGGTTCACATTCTGCTTGTTCAGTCAGTCCTGTTATCACTGTCCCTGTATCCAGAGCTGTCTGCATCTGTAACTGGGGAGGGTGATCCCTAGATCTCTCTGTAACCACAGTGGTCAAGGTGGGCCCCTATCTGCATAATTGGGAGGGGTGGGTGGATTGATCCCTGGATCACTCCCTGTGTCTCCCTAAGCAGAGGGTGATCTCTGTATGGGGTTGGAGCCAGTGCATAGTGTGTGATCCCAGGCACACAGCTGGTGACTATACGTCTTTTTTACTGTACATGAATGCTGAAGATTTGCCTTTGTAAGTCTTTTTTATTTATTGGAAGGTTTTTCCAATCACGTTTAATAAAATAAGAGAATTATAATTGCTTATTCATTTGTAATCTCTCATTGGTGAATGTACGGTATCTGACGAGGACAGCCCCTCTGTTGTGAGGCATTGGGAAGAACAAACAGAGAGCCAGAGCAGTTGTATCAGGACTCTGTGCCAGTGATCCCCTGTTTGCTGCAGTTGGAATGGCTGAGGGGAGTGCTTTCTGCCAAGGCCCTCCTATCAGGAAGCTTCCCATGAAGCTGGTAGTGGAAATTGCCCCTGTCTAATGATCCTGTATAGAGCAGCTGTAGTAAACACTGAACACGTGGCACAACAGTACGCATGATGGGAAGGCTATGGAAAGCCGTATGTTGATTGCTGAGGAGTAGGAGCTCTGCATAACTTTGCATTACAGTCTCTGTTTTAATCCTGAACTACACCATTGAATCAAATCCTACTCCCAAACTGTAGCCAGAGTTTAGGTGAACTAACATTAGCTCGGCGTTGCAAGTCTTTGTTATACTGGCATCAGTAGTAGCTCAATGACCTTCAGTCTCCTACATGACCCTGCTTTTGTGAAATTATTTGAAGAATGTTGGCCAGGTATGAGGAGTTATCTTTGCCATCAGAATACACAGGGTAGGTTTCATTAAAGTGGTGCTGTAAGCAGGCACCTCTGACAATGTGACAGCCCTCAGTAGTGTACTGAATGTCATTGTCTGTTAAACTCCCTGAAGTGGGGTTTGAACCTAGATGTTTGGTTATGATCAGGGTAGTATTCAATGTCTGTTACTAGCTAGTGAAGGCAAGGTCCAGGTTTATTCATCCAGCTTATTATGTCACCAGTTTGCTAATGTAAGTGCCAGTGCATTGAAAGCCTCTGCCTAGAATACGCCATGTGCTTCCTTTCCTCAACTTCTATTTAGTGATCTTTAATAGGGTCAAACATTAATCCTCTCCATCATTGACGAGCCTGTCAGTTTGGGGAAGGATCACTCCATAACACACTAACCCTATCTTCAGAGTTCCATAGAAACAAAAACAAATTGCTGGACGAACTCAGCACTTCTGATGAAGGATCACCAGACTTGAAACGTTAAGTCTGCTTCCATTCCACAGACGCTGCTAGACCCGAGTTCCTCGAGCAATTTTTGTTTCAGATCTCCAACACCCACAGGTCTCTGTTTTATATTGTAGAAGCTGCTGTGCGTCCAGCATTTCTGGAATTTTACTCATCTTCCAGTCCCACAACAAAGATCAGAGACACTCCGTGGTCCTCTGTCTGTTCAGAGCCTCCTAGGATCACTTCCTCCTCCCTGAACAATACTGTGCTAAAAGGACACATGGTCTCAGAGGAGTTCAGAATATGTTTCCACACTCCAATCTGCTGCTGTTCTGACTGCGTCTGTGAATCAATCATCTGTGTAACCGAAAGCTATGACACGAGATGCTTTCTGCTGAGGTTTTGAGGGATGTGTCACTGACACGGGATTTCAGAGAATCCAAACTGCCTCTTCTGGTCGACACACTCTCCAAACAGGCTTCTGCTGCTGCCACAGCTTGAACATGCCCATCACTTGCTCTCTTGTTCCAGGTTTGGTACATTGCCCAGTGATGTGATAAAAGCAAGACGGGTCTGGTTCATAACAGCTGAGGGCTTCAGAGGAGCTGACTGTGATTTCAGGCCTGCTCAGTGAGTCACAGGGATGTCAAGGGGAGAGGTTCAGGCACTGATCATTTCCTGACAAAACTGCAGCTGCCCTGTTGCATAAGTATTCAGCTCCCACTTAGTATTGCTGCAAGAAAACCAGACTCTCCAGCCATACCATACCAACCTGGGGAAGGGTTAATGAGAGTTTACATCATCTAATCTTGCCCGAAACTGCTCTGAGAGTGAGGGGACCCTGCATCACAGAACAAAGCAGCAGATAGATAAAGGTCATTTGACCTCTGGTAGGATAGTTAATCGCAATA